TTTCTGATGTTTAAACCTATTTATAGCCTCTGAAATGATATAATTTTAAACCCAATTAACATCCACAAAATGGCTATAAACAGTCACTTATTTAAAACCTAAAATCTGGAAAAACTACATCTGTAGTCAACTGCAAGTCATAGTAGTCGACTACACTGAGTCTAAACAGACTCTGTGAAGTCAGAAAATTGCTTAGTAGTCGACTACAAGGCATAGTAGTCGACTACACTGTAAACTCAGATTCTGGAATTTTTCTTTTCAGTATTTTGACTGTAACTTTCTTATCCGATATCAGAATGAGGTGATTTAAGATTTGTTGGAAAGCTCTTGAAGAGACCTACAACTTTGATCTTTTGAGTTTTTCAGATTCTAATTGTTAAGTGGTATAAATGAAATATTTTAAGACTCACTCAATATCTATAAACTCTAATGGCTAACATAGGGGATTTCTATTGTTAACTAACACACTAAGTATGTGTTAGTATGTTCTAACACTATGTATGTGCATGTGTGTGAGTGATCAAGGCTTGTACAAATTTCTAAGCAAAGAAAATATAAAATTACATTTAGACAATAAAGTATATCTTCTTCTTTGCTTCATTTTACCTTGAACTCATCTATGTCTTGAGTATCTCTTTGAATATAATTGTTGATATAGCTCTGATACTGCAAAACAAATATTAACACATAATACACACAACATATAATATTTGTTATCATCAAAATAAACTAATCTTGAGGTCAAGATTCCTAATAATATTTACATTATCTAATATTCTCATTCAATTTTATAGCTCATTTTCCGTACCATAGAAGTAAAATTGAAAGTATAAAAAATTATTTTATTGCGAACAGGGAAATTATGATATATTGCGCAATGTGCTCTAAATATAAAATTTTATTTTTTCTTTGATGCAAGGTCCTTATCAAATCTTGCCCCAAACGATGTGTATGAAAAATACTATTATAACTACTTGCTTAGGCCAATTGTATTGTATATATGGTATATAACTCATCTAGAATATCTGCATCTGCTAAGTGGATATTGTTGTTGTAAGAGCAAAATGTTAGAAGCTCGCATTCAAACTTTTTGGCTCTGTACAAGAAATAAGAATTTGGAGTGCACAACTTATATATCGTAAAGAACATACGGGTTCATGAAAAAATTTCCCTAATAACGATACTATTACAACGATATCACTATTTAGTATTAAATCAACGTTATTATATAAGATTACATAACTCTTTTTAATAAATTATAAAGTATATATATGGAAGTCTCAATGCTTATAGTAGTATTTGGACTCTATAAAATAGGTAACTTTACATTGTAGTTTGCTAATGATAGTACTATTGGCAATGTCATTACCTTTCCTCTTTATCTTATTATTCACATTTTTCTGAAGTAAGTTCTTTTTTGCTAATCACTTAATTAGCTACATTTAGTTTTTATAAATATTCTCTTCTGTTTAAAATATATTGATATGATTTTCTTAAAAAATATATACACATAGTAGTAATAGTATATATACTTCAGTTCAACTCAAACATTGGTTTGAAGCCATTTAGAGTAAGGTCATTTCTACACTAGAATAGTAATATAGTGATTACACAATCCAAAAGTCAAAGAAGAAATTTCTGCAAAGAAAAAGTACTTAAAATGTCAAATTAATAACTAGTTTATAAAATATATATGGGCAGTGCAGATAGCTATAGAAAGTAAGGTATATATCTTTATGAATATTCCATAGTGAGTGACCAACTATAATCATCATAATTTTAGCATAAATAAATATTATTTTAGATACTAATTTGACATGCATAACTATGGAATAAATTTCAAGCCAAAAATAGAAATTAAGATTGTATTATCCTATAGGTAAATAAATAAATATTATTAGAGTTCCTCTTTATATTAAACTTAAAAGTAATAATTTAAATTATTAACTTCCAAATATTAGTTCATGTGAGAAGTAAAGTAATCTATGGTCTATATACATATACAGTCAATCAATCAAACGTATTAAAATTATGATGACCACAGTCAAAATATACGGTGAGTTCACATTAACTATAATTTATAAAATATAGTACATTAAAGACAAAATCCTTTTAACCACTATATAGATTGTCTGAAAAGTTTTGCATACATAAACTATAATGCCTAGGAATAGTGATATGAGCACTTAACTATGACCTAATAATCTTAAGAATGACTTACACTTCAATATCATCATTAATTGACGTATCTATGCATTACACTGAAAATACAATGAAAATTTAGAAAACTACAAGAGAAACAACCTCAAAAGTTTTAAAATTATAAAAAACACCCTAAAATTTTGTAATTTATAAATACATAAAACTATTAAATATTACACTAAAATTAAGGAATTACAAAAAAAAATCACTAAAATTTTTAAACTTTGGAGGGGTAATTTGTAATATACTAAACTTTAAGGGGTGTCTTTTATAAATTTCATAACTTAATATATTTTCAAGTAGTTATGTTCTTTTAAAAAAAGTTATGGGTAATATTGACCATGAAAAGTTTTTCCTAAACTTATACTTTTAAAGAGAGTATGATATTTTTTACAAATTTTTAATTTTTTAAGGGTTGTTAGTAATTTTGTATATTCATTTTAGTGTCTATAAGTTAGAAATTCTCATGGTGTTTTTTAATAAACTATAAATTTTAGAGGTTTTTTGTAATTTTTTAAACTTATACGCCTTTTCTACAGATTGTAAATTGTTTATAGACTATTTATAATTCCTATGTTTTTAATTTACTAATGAGTTTGAAATTCTCAAGGTGTTTTTTTATAAAATTTGAATTTTGAGGGTTTGTTTGTAATTTTTTAAACTTTAAGGGTGCTTTCTTAAATTATAAATTATATAAAGGATATTTATAATTCCCATATTTTTAATGTACTGTTAAGTTGGAAATTATCAGGGTTTTTATAAATTTTATAATTTTGAGAGATTTATTTATAATTTGTAAAAAGTTCAGAGTGTTTATTGCAAATTCCATAAATTTTGGATTTTTTGTGTTATTTGTCGGTTTTTAATGTGTTTATATGTTTAAAATATTTAATGTGTTTTTTATAAATTTTGAATTTTTAGGGGTGTTTCTGTACTTTTTAAAACTTACAAGATATTTTCTCCAAAGTTAAAAAACATTGAGTTACTAGCTAGCATATGTTTTTTAGATTTCTTACTAAATTGAAATAAGTAAAATTTATAATTTTTTAAGATGTTTTAATAAAATTTTGAATTTATAGGGATGTTTTTTACAATTTAAAAAACTTAGAGGATATTTTTTACAAAGTTCAAAAACTTTTAGGTGCTGACTAGCACATGTTTTTTAGATCTATTTGCGAACTAAAATAAGTAAAGGATTTGAATTATATCAAACATATGTCCTTTATCTAATAACATGTTAAGTTTCATTATGAATAAGATAAATCATTTAATTACCATTTCAAAAAAGATAGGATAATTAGAATAGATTAGGATAACAACGTAATATTCAAAAAATTAAGGGAAATATTAACCATGAAAATATTTTCCCGAACTCATACTTTTAAAGAGAGTATGATATGATATATACATGTATTTAAAATATAAATATACATTATATTTTGTTATTGAAAAAGAGCCAATTGATGACATGAATGTACAAACCGGGAAAAAATGTTACATCTAAATGTTAGGACATGCAGTTTAGCTAATATGGTGTCGATCATCCATGATAAAACACGAAGTGTTTTTTAGGGCATGCAGTTTAGCTAATATGATGTCGATCATCCATGATAAAACACGAAGTGTTTTTTATTTTTTTGATTTGCTTTCTTTTGAATTGTTTTGTGTTGTATTGTTTTGTTTTTTTAGTGGCCTTTAACCTCTAATAATTGATTGTATGGATTTATTGTATATTGTTACAAGTTATGTTTCTTTGTTTAGGCATCAAAGGCTTTCTCAATAAATGTTGGCTAGCCAATCTATCGAATTGAATATTACATTAAGATTTTGTTATAAGTCAAACATTTCAGAGACAATGAATAGTTAAATTTAGGATGTTGTTTCCTTCATTAGTATTTTCGTGTAATCAAGGCAGAATTGCAGGAGCAAAAAGGGAAAAAAGAAGCTCTTTGCCTTACTTTATATAACTTTTTAATAATTTAAAGCATAATGCAGTTAAGATGGGTATATTATACTAAGTTTTCTTTTATGTGGTAAATGTTGAATAAAATAAATATATTTGCTTGCATGTGAAAAAAAAATAAGCAAAAAAAAAAGGAGAGGGCTACAATTGTTCTCAATATGTTGGTATACTTTGTAATGTTGAGTTGTACTCGCTTTGTAGAAGATCTTGTAATTCGAACAATTTGATAGTAAATTGGATCATTTCGTGTTTGGGTGACTTATTTTCTTTCCTGGTTGGAACCAAATTATTTATAATATGATATTTATCTTTTTATTGACTGAACAAAATTTGCCGTTAGAAAAGATCGTTTTCATTACTTTATTAGTTTTCAATCAAAAAATGATGTTGGCGTACGGTCATTTTAAATGGGTATTTATTAAATCATAATATCAAAATAATATGTGCGCAACAACACTAATAATAAGTTTGCAAATTAAGGGGAGATGAAAACACCACCTTAAAACTCCTTTTAATAAACAGTTCTAGCTAAAACTTTAATCAATCCCCATTTAATTTAGTAACAGTCTTATATCAAAATGCACGGTCATGCAATTCCCCAAAGTACCCCCTACCAGCCAATCGAATTGCATCGGCCCGTTAAAACACTTCCCTTGTTCATGGGAGGGCTATTATCGTCATTTATGGGTCCAAAATAATAAACAATGTCGATCAATTACGTGCCTCTTCTCCTCCTCTCTGCTACGCATTCGAAGAACAGAAACGAATAGGGAGAGAGAGAGAGAGAGAGAGAGAGAGAGAGAGAGAGAGAGAGGGAGAGAGAGAGGGGGGGAGAGAGAGAGAGAGAGAGAGAGAGGGGAGATTTCGATCGGTTAGGGTTTTAGGCGCGATCGAGCGAAGAACACGGAGGATTTCTCTCTTCTTCTTATTCGTCTTCAATCTCCGGATTCCTCTCTCTGTTTCCCCTCGCATTATCATTTCGCGCCAAAAAATTAGAGAGAGAAAGATAGACAGAGGACGAGGAATAGAAAGAGAAAGTATAACAAATCATTGATACTTAGGGATTCGAATTTTTTGGAGGTGATTGTAGGGGAATAAGAGATTGATTGATTTTTTTTAGGGATTTTGTACAGTTGCATTGGTGATTAAGGTTTTGTACATTCCTTGAAGAACGGATCAGGATTCGTCATGGTACGTGGATCTTTATGTTTTTTTTTTTAATTTTGGGTGTTTCATTTTCTTCATTGTCATTTTGAACTGAAAATGAGGTCCTATGCACTTAGTTTAATATCAACATTCAATGTTGCTGTTTTTGGTAAGTATTATGATACGATACATGTTTGCTCTCTATTAATGTTTAGCACTGGCCCCACTATTATCCAAAATGAAGAAACGATAATGGATTTTTTTTTTTTTTTTTGGTTGGGAAACGATAATGGATTTTTTTTTTTTTTTTTGGTTGGTGGAGTGATGCCAATCTTGTTGACAACTTTGACGTCCAATATATCTTATTCAATCATAAACGTAACACCCAACTGTGAGATTTATGATAGGAAACATAGTTTATTTTCACATTCTATATTCAGTTATATGATCAAACTAGTATAAATGTGACACCCTCACTTTAGTCCCACGTGGACTAATGTGAAGAATTGGTAGTGGTTTAAATAGAGAAAAGCTCAAGGTCCAAGAACAATTAGTGCTAGTATTTTAGGGGTGGATTTAAGCCAACATCGAGATACTCTTGGTGGGTCCCATAGCTTGCACGTCCCAATGGACCTGTGAGCTTACAAAATGGTCAGAGCAGTTGCCAGCCGGAAGTGCGGAGCTAAGTGCTATACGGGGCTAAGTGCTACACCGTGTGATATGGGGGGAGCCACTTCTAGAACCCGTAGGAGCCACCTTTAGAATCAGCATCGCCTGACAAGTAACACTGAGATGTGCCAAATGTCATATCGTGACGACGAGGACGTCATTTTTGTAAGGTAGGATGATTGTGACACTCTCACTTTAGTCCCACATGGACTAGTGTGAAAAATTATTAGTGATTTAAATAGAAAAAAACCCAATACTTAAGAACAACTAGTGCTAGCATTTTGGCGGTAGATTTAAGCCAACATCGAGTTGCTCTTGGTGGATCTCACGGCTTGCATGCGCCAATGGGCCCGTGGGCCCTGGGCGTGACAATAACTTGCGAAGACTTTGGCAATAATGCATAGTAGACAATAAAACAAGTCAAACTCTCCTATATTTATAGGATATGGTACACATTGGCCGTTTACTCTTCTCTACATCATTGTTTCCATAGGATTTCTTATTGGCTAACCTGGGCAAGATGTCAAATAAAAATTATTGACTAGAGTACGTTACACGAAGAGAATGGGGGAGAAAAGAGAGATGTACAGAAAGAGGAGCTAAGAAGATGCAACTAAAAGACAAAACAAAGTAATCTAGATTTCTGAATCAAAGTGTCATGCCGCTCCTGATGAACGAACGCACCTTTGTTAAGAGGCGACGACGAACTCGCCTGTAGGTGAGGGTTGGACGGGCGGAATTGGGGCAGACGATGAACTCGCAGGCGAAATTAGGAGGCGAGATCAAGCTCGCCTGTAGGTGATGGTTGAGAGCTTGCCTGTGTGATCACGAGCTCGCTTGCTCGTGATGTATTCGCCCCCTCATGAGTGGATGCTAGCTGGAGCGCACCACCGAGATCGAGCTCGCTTGTAATATTGGATGCCAGCTGGAGGAGAGGCTCGCCCTAGGGGTTTCCTATAAAAGGGAAACCCTCGTTTTCCTTTGATTTTTGATTCCCCTGTCCCTATTCTCATTAATTGTAGAGAAGGGGTTGGTGATTTATTTGGGGAAGTTGAGTAATTAAGAGAGATTGAACAAAGTTAAAATACTGTTATTGTTTGGAGAGATCTCAAGCTTGAGATATTCTCTTAATTTGTAATTTCTTATGATAAATAAGAAATTATTTGTGCCGCTCCCGTGGACGTAGCCAAATTACCGAATCACGTAAAATATCTGTGTTTGTGATTGGCTTGTCATATTTGTTGGATTGTACTCGAGTTAGGTTTGTTTATCTTCTCCCGTGCTTACGGACTCGTTCAGTGTGTGAGCACGCTTCCGCAAAGGCGCGCAACAATTGGTATCAAAGCTCTAGATTTGAGATCTAGGGTTTTGGTATTGGGTGGAGGAAGATTCAATTTAGAGACTTGGTTCTTAGAGTTCTAGGCTTCGGTGGAGATAGCGTTGAGGAGTGTCGTGGTGATATTGCTTTCCTTGTGTGGTTAGGAGATCAATTTGGAATCCGATTTAGGATTCAATTGGGTATCTCTTTAATTCTATCAAAGTTTGGATCTTTCTTTGTAATTCGGAGTTTGTATGGGAGAAGTAGTTGAAGAAAGCAGCAAGACTATATCGGGTACAGTTCAAGTTGATTTTTAAAATACTAAAATTAGTGTAGTAAAATATGACGGTAAAATTAACTTTGGTTTGTGGATGAGCGACGTATAGGACGCACTCAATGCACAGAATTTAGAGGAGATCCTCATTGTCCAAGAGAGACCACCTAAATATGAAGAGTCGGTATGGGAAAAGATGAATAGGAACGCTTGTGGGGTGATCAGGTCCTGTTTGGAACAAGAGCTGAAGTATGATGTGATTGAGATGACGTCTGCAATGAAGATGTGGGAGATTCTCAACAATAAGTATCTGACGAAGAGTGTTGAGAACCGCTTGTACTTGGTGTGAAGATTGTTTAGATTTCAGATGTCCCGAGACACCTCACTAGCGGCTCATATGAACATCTACACTAAGTTATTGTCGGGCTTGATGAATGTTAATGAGAAGTTATTGGATGAGTACAAGACGATTATTTTGTTGGGCTTCTTACCGGATGAGAAGTATGATACTTTCGTGCTCACTCTGTTAAATGAAAGATCTTCTATCAGCTATAGTGAAGTTACTAACGCTTTAACGAATTATGATCTGAGGAGGAAGGATAATGAGACTTCCCACACTAGTACTTCAGAAGAGGCCTTGTCGACAAGAGGTAGAAGTCCATATCCGAGAGGTGACAATAGAGGAAGGTCAAAGTCTAGAGGCCATCACCAGTTAGCTAAGAACCAGTGTGCGTTCTGCAAGGAACACGGACATTGGAAGAGAGACTGTCCGAAGCTTAAGGAGAAGGAGAATGATAAAAAGAAGGGCTAGAAGGCAAATGAGGTGAATGTTACTAGCGACAATGATTTTGTTGATTCGAACTTTTCTCTTTTGATTACTCCAGAGGTGAATCATTTGGATGCATCAGATTGGATGTTAGATTCTGACGCTACATATCATGTGAACCCTAGACGAGATTTGTTTGTATCATTTGAGAGACTCGATGGGGGTGTTACAGTCATGGGGAATGATCAATCCTGTGATATTTGTGGGATAGGTACCGTGCGGATTCGGATGCACGATGGAGTAGTCCGTGAATTGAAGGAGGTGAGATTCATTCCTCAACTGAAGAAGAATCTTATCTCAGTTGGAGCTTTGGAGGCGAAAGGATTCAAGGTGACCTTTGATAATGCTGTAGCAAAGGTTACTAAGAAATCTTTGGTGGGGATGAAGGGAGTCCGCAATCGAAACTTATATTATTTGAAAGGGAGCACCGAGGATGGTCAGGTAGCTTCAGCTATTTCAGAGGCGGACATGAGCAGATTTTGGCACTACAGGTTAGGACACACAGGAGAAAAGTCACTGCAGGCTTTGTGCAAGCAAGGGCTATTGAAGGGAGCCAAGAGTGGAAAGATTGAGTTCTGTGAGCATTGTGTTCTTGACAAGAAGAGGAAGGTGAAGTTCAGGACTGTCATCCGTAGGACGAGGGGCATCCTGGACTACGTACACACAGACGTTTGGGGTCCCACCAAGACTACATCACTTGGTGTTGACATTGGTTCGTCATTTTTGTAGATGACTATTCTAGGCGTTATTGGGTGTACACCATGAAGCATAAGAATGAAGTGCTAGATTTGTTTGTGGAGTGAAAGAAGAGATTGGAACTATAGACTGGGAGAAAGGTCAAGACGTTACGATCAGACAATGGTGGTGAGTATACTTCTGATCCCTTTTAGCAGCTATATCGAGACGAGGACATAGAGAGACACTTCAGAGTGAGTCATACACCGTAGCAGAATGGGATGACAGAGAGGCTGGATCGGTATTTACTGGAGAAGGTCCGATGCTTATTATCGTAGAGTGGTTTGGAGAAGATCTTTTGGGCTGAGGTATTATCATATGTGAGCCACCTCATTAACAGGCTGCCTTCATCTATAATTAAGGAGAAGACCCCTATAGAGATGAGGTCAGGAAAGGCAGCACACGACTACGACCAGCTCAAGGTATTTGGGTGTCCTGTATTTTATTATGTAAGAACAGATAAATTGAAACATCGAGCTAGGAAGGTCATATTTGTAGGATTCAAGCGTGATATCAAGGGATACAAGCTATGGGATCTAGTTGATAAGAAGATTGTGCTGAGTAGGGACGTCACGTTCGGTGAGGTTTCTATCTTGAAGCTTTCCAGCTCTCATTAGGTGGAGAGCTATCCGACGGAGGAGATATCGCAGGTGGTGGAAATCGATGCAGCTCCACATTATCCAGATGGTACAGTATCCATTAGAGTGCCAACCGAGGTGACGCCAGGCGGGCACGGCGACGACGAGAAGGATACGAGTACATATGTGCAGGATCAGGGACCGACGGCTCAGATTCAGGATTCGATTACGGTTCGGAGACAAAGGAGAGACATACGGACTCCAGCACGGTATATCGACACAGTAGTTACGTATGCACTTCCGGTGGAAAGTATCGATGAGTTGATACCTACTACATTCAGAGAGGTCGAGCAGAGTTCGGAGGCTGATTCGTGGTAGGTAGCTATGAATGAGGAGATAAAGTCTCTTCACAAGAACGATACATGAGAGCTTGTTCAGCTTCCAAAGAGGCGGAAGACGATTGGTTGCAAGTGGGTATACACGAAGAAGGAGGGCATTGAGGGCACTCCATTGATGTTCAAATCTAGGTTGGTTGCGAAGGACTATGCACAGGAGGAATGTATTGACTATAATGAGGTTTTCTCTCCGGTGGTGAAGCACTCTTCGATTTTGATTTTGCTAGCTTTGATGACACAGTATGGTTTGAAGTTAGATCAGTTAGATGTGAAGACGATATTTCTTCATGGTGATCTTGATGAAGAAATTTATATGACTCAGCCATTGGGATTCCGAACTGCAGGGAAGGATAAATTAGTTTGCAAGTTGAAGAAATCGCTATACGGTTTGAAGCAATCTCCTCGACAGTTGTATAGGTAATTTGATAGTTTCATGATCAGTCAATCGTACATTCGGAGCCAGTTTGATCCTTCCGTGTACTATCGCAAGTTAAAAGGAGGTGTGTATATTTATTTGTTACTTTATATCGATGACATATTGGTTGCCTTTATTTCTAGCTCCGTTATAGATGAGTTGAAGGCACAGCTTTCAAATGAGTTTGAGATAAAGGATTTGAGCGAGGTTAAGCGCATTTTGGGAATGGAGATCGGCAGAGACAAAGCAAATGGCAGATTTCGTTTGACTCAGGTGACTTATTTGAAGAAGGTTCTACAGCGATTTAATGTTAGCATGGAAACGAAGTCTGTTAGTATACCTCTGGGAGCCCATTTGAAGCTTTCAGCTGATCTTTCACCAAAGACAGTTGAAGATAGAGAGTTGATGTCGAAGACTCCATATGCGAGCGCAGTTAGAAGCTTAATGTACGCGATGGTATGTACGAGGCCGGATTTATCACATGCGGTGAACATGGTTTCGAGATACATGCACGATCTATGAGTGGGTCATTGGGACGCCGTGAGATGGATTTTGAGGTACATTCGAGGTACGCTCAATGTTGATTTGGTTTATGAGCGGGACACTAGAGGTGAGCAGTTGTGTATTGGCTATGTTGATTCGGATTATACTGGAGATTTAGATAAACGTCGATCTACGACGGGGTATGTGTTCACGTTGACCCGTGCACCGGTGTGTTGGAGATGCACCTTACAGTCTACGGTGACTTTGTCTACGACGGAGGCAGAATATATGGCGATTACGGAGGCTGTGAAGGAGACCATTTGGCTTCGAGGACTTTTGGAGGAACTTGGTATATCGCAGCGCTCCGTCATTATTCATTGTGATAGCATGAGTGCTATCTATTTGGCGAAGAATCAGGTTTTTCATACGAGAACGAAGCACATTGACGTTCGTTATCACTTCATTCGGGATGTTCTTGAAGATGGAGATGTGGAGATAGTGAAGATCCACACGAAGGATAATCCGGCGGATATGCTCATAAAAATGGTTCCAAGCAACAAGTTTGATCATTGTCAAAACTTGTTACACATTCATAATTGTTGAGGTCATTGGCGGCCATTTGGCAGAACTACGATTAGCTTGATCCTAGTCAGAGGGTATGTAGGCAACCATTGTATAATGGTGCAGCTGTTTTGGGCCTGACTTGGCGTTTGCGATGTTCTTCTGGTGTTCGTCCAAAATTTAAGATTTATCAAATGATGGACGAGGTTGAGAATTGAAGAACGAACGCACCTTTGTTAAGAGGCGACGACGAACTCGCTTGTAGGCAAGGGTTGGACGGGCGGAATTGGGACAGGCGACGAACTCGCAAGCGAAATTAGGAGGCGAGATCAAGCTCGCATGTAGGTGATGGTTGAGAGCTCGCCCGCTCGTGATGTATTCGCCCCCTCGTGAGTGGATGCTAGCTGGAGCGCACACGCCAGCTGGAGGAGAGGCTCGTCCTAGGGTTTCCCTATAAAAGGGAAACCCTCGTTCTCGAGCGCGAGCTGAGCGGAGCAGAAGAAAAAGAAGCGGCAGCAGCGGTTTCCTTTCTGCGATTTTTGATTCCCCTGTCCCTGTTCTCATTAATTGTAGAGAAGGGGTTGGTGATATTTATTTGGGGAAGTTGAGTAATTAAGAGAGCGATTGAACAGTGTTTTAAGTTAAAACACTGTTATTGTTTGGAGAGATCTCAAGCTTGAGATCTTCTCTCTTAATTTATAATTTTTTGTGATAAATAAAAAATTATTTGTGCCGCACCCGTGGACGTAGGCAAATTACCGAACCACGTAAAATATCTGTGTTTGTGATTGGCTTGTCATATTTGTTGGATTGTACCCGAGTTAGGTTTATTTATCTTCTCCCGTGCTTACGGACTCGTTCGGTGTGCGAGCACGCTTCCGCAAAAGCGCGCAACAGCTCTGTGACGGCGATCTAGTCCATGTTGGGCAAAGTTATCATACAAAAAAGAAGGTGATCATGCAACCAGGTGATGAAGAGTGTCTTTTCATGTCTGGGTTTATCTTGAAATACGCTATCATCCCGTTTATTCCAAATATAGTAGTAGCATGCAAGTACAATACGGTCTCATTGATTAAGGTCTTCTCGTGCTGAGAGTCCCAAAAGTGTCGCAGTGTATGATTTGTTATTGTAGGATACATTACACGTTCAAGTTTTTATTATCCTTCTTTTTACAGAAAATATTATTCTACTGTTTCAACAGAAAATATTATTCTACTGTTTCAACAGAAAATGCTTGTTTGTATCTGCTTTAGCTGCATCCTTTTCTTTCTTAGCAAATGTTGTAACCCTATTGGAATTTCTTGTTTCACAGGCTTCTCATAGCATTGCAGTAGGATCTCAAGTTTGGGCTGAGCATCCCGAAGTAGCTTGGATAGATGGGGAAGTCTTGGAAGTTGATGAGGATGATATTAAGATCAGCTGTAGTTCTGGAGAAACAGTGAGTGTTTCTAATTAAGGTTCTTGAGTATCATACAACTAAGAGCAGGCACAATTACTGTTAAATTTGAGTATCATATAACTAAGAGCAGGCAGTAAATACTGTTAGATTGCTACACTCATCTCATCTCTTTCGCAGAAGAAGATGCTCTATTATTAATATTGGATGTTGCTTGTGTACTTTGGATTTTTTTTTCTGCGACTGCTGAGTTGATACGCCAGTTTGTTAATTTTTATAATGGCTATTTATGCTATCATCTTAATTCAAAATCATAACTTGCTTTATCAAACGTGAATCAATCCTTTCAAAGATTTTCCCTTTTTTGGAAACCAGCTAGGTGCTAGCTATACTTACGATTTTTAAACAATGGTTGAACCATAAACAGAATTGCCTGGAATTATATTACTATCTGTTGATGTTCTCCTTTAGAAATCGAAACTGTTGGCTGAGAGTTGTTCCTGGCACTGCAGGTCACAGTTAAAGTGTCTAGCGTCTATCCTAAGGATCCTGATGCGCCGTCTTGTGGGGTTGATGATATGACAAAGCTGGCTTATCTCCACGAACCTGGAGTTTTACAGAACTTAAAGTCAAGATATGACGTGAATCAAATTTATGTGAGTATAATCTGATGAATGAGCTGGCTGCTGGTTTAGGATCCCTTTACTACCCATATATTCTTCTTATCTTTAGAAGACAAACTTGTCCACATCCACATCATCTTGTTGGTGTTTATCTTTTGTTCTGAAGAAAGCCTTGCTCTTGGCAGAAATTGTGCTTGCTGCAGTGCTCCTCTGTTTTTCTATTTCTTGTTTGTTACAGTTTTGTGTTCTTGAGTATTTCAGTAACAAATGAATTTTACTGCTCCAGACTTATACTGGAAGTATATTGATTGCTGTGAACCCATTCCGTAGACTGCCTCATCTCTATGACCCTCAGCTCATGGAAAAATACAAAGGGATTCCACTTGGTGATCTCGACCCACATCCTTTTGCTGTTGCAGATGCTGCATACAGGTACTCTATAATTTTATGGGAATACATGAAGTGCTGGAGGTATCTATCAGCATCACTTGGATGTCTTTGTCTCTTTCGTGATTGCAGACTAATGAGAAATGAGGGGATAAGCCAATCTATTCTAGTAAGCGGAGAGAGTGGTGCAGGTAAAACAGAAAGTACCAAGATGCTTATGACGTATCTTGCTCACATGGGAGGGACAGTTGCAGCTGAAGGGCGGACGGTGGAGCAGCAAGTGTTAGAGGTGGGGTAGTTTTCCACTTCTTTTTTATTCTTTTTTTCCTTTCTAGTACGATCAAACTATCCATTTCTTTTGATCATTAATCTGTGATCTCTTGTATCCTCTTCCTATAAAATTTTGATGTGAGCCTGTTTTTTGGTCTTTTTTCAGTCCAATCCTGTTCTTGAAGCATTTGGAAATGCAAAGACTGTTAGAAACAACAATTCGAGGTAGAAAAAGTTTTGCTGTTTTTTCAATTTACATTTCAACATATACTTTCATTCAGTCTTTTTGAATGATGATGTTAATCCTGAATTATATGCAAAATTTGTTAGCCGTTTTGGCAAGTTCGTCGAGATTCAGTTCGATCAGAGGGGAAAGATTTCAGGTGCTGCAATCAGAACATACCTACTTGAGAGGTCTCGCGTCTGCCAACTCTCTGATCCTGAGAGAAACTATCACTGCTTTTACATGCTTTGTGCTGCACCATCAGAGGTATTGCATCTTAAAAATGTTTTCGGACAGCAAAAATGTAGAATGACTTTGAATCTTTCTTATCCTCGTAATAGATTTCATTCCTCTGCATTCTGATTAGTGACTAGGATATCCTATGCTCCATGAAATAAAGCATGCACAATTAGATAATAACGAAACTGCAGTAGTATTGCATTGACATTGGCAGATAATCATGTGAATTGCACACATTTGAAATAAGAATGAAGAATTTTATTAATTATCATGTAATTTTACTAATGTACTATGTGCCTTAGCTTGTGCCGCTTTCTGATGCCTGATGCCAAAGCATCTGAAGCAGACTTTGTGCAAAGTTTACTATAGGATCAAGCCAAAAATGAAATTGTTACTTTATAGGCATCTATCAACTTGTGATTTCTCTGTATCTTTATGACTATCTAAATTACAGTACTCTATTGTCTTTTAAGTATGGTTAATTGTATCCATAAAATTGTCTGCTCGTGCCAGTTGCCGTGTCATACCTCTCAGCTTGTTTGATTATGGCTATTGAATGCAAATAGAATGGTGCTAATTTCTAATGCTTTTAAAGGAATCAAAGGGTCCCAGTGGGAAATACTAATGAATAGGTGGTATGAATTGCATGTTTCACTGTTATGCATAACCGATAACCCCAGGAAGTCTCATGAGCTACGAAACTACCAAAAATAACTTGCTTCTAAAGTGTTTGAAGCGGTTATCTGCATATCCTGCATCAATACGCACTATGATGAGATATTTTACTCTAATATAATGGAAGAAGATGGCTGCTGTATTCATATAAGTGAACTATGTGTTCGCATTTATCAGGTCACTCAAAAATACAAATTGGAAAATCCAAGGACATTCCATTATCTTAATCAGACCAATTGCTATGAGCTTGAAAGCATAGATGATGCAAAAGAATACCTGGAAACTAGAAGGGCCATGGATATAGTCGGAATCAGTTCTGATGAACAGGTAAACATCTGATGTTGTTATAACATGGGAGAGACCTTCATTTCTCTGATTCAGCAAGTTATCTACCTCAGCCATACTTTGTTTGGTATTCTGTTCATTCAGGATTCCATTTTCCGTGTTGTTGCTGCTATTCTTCATTTAGGAAATGTTGAATTTGCCGAGGGACAGGAAGAAGATTCATCAGAGCCAAAAGATGACAAGTCTCGGTTCCATCTACAAACTGCTGCTGATCTTTTCATGTATATAAGAATTTTCCTGATGAACGCTAATACTCTCATATAAAACTGGATATTCTTATTAACAAATTTTTTTATTAAACTCCCAGGTGCAATGTGAAGGCACTTGAAGATTCTTTATGCAAGCGCATCATGGTAACACGTGATGAGAACATAACAAAAAGCCTTGATCCAGAAGCTGCTGTGCTCAGCAGAGATGCCTTGGCTAAAACTGTATATTCTCGGTTGTTTGACTGGTAACTGTTCTAGTATTCTCATGTAACTTAACTGCATTGATGATTATTTTTAGTTTTTCATGTTATTCATTTTTGCGCTAATACTTGCAGGCTTGTAAATAAGATCAATAATTCTATCGGTCAAGATCCTGATTCAAAACAATTGATTGGAGTTCTCGATATATATGGCTTCGAAAGTTTCAAGACAAACAGGTGCTTAACTGGTACGCTTTTGTGTGTCATTACAACTGTCAAGATCTTTCTGTACATTTCTTTAGCATGTGTTGTGATGGATTTGAAGCTTGTTTTGCCTTTTTGATGTTCTTGAGTTTAGGTTTTTTCTTTTCATTGTATAGCATAGCGCGTACAACACGATTGCTTTAACTAGCTTACTATAACATTTTAAGTTGGGGTACAAATCATGGTAGACTAGTTGATATGTTCTGGTTGATATCCCTAATAGAGTTAGGTGTGTTTTTGCGATCGAACAGCAACAAAAAATAAATAAAGATAAAAATAAAAATAAAAACAATGACGACAATGACAACAAAGCTTTATCCAAACTTTTGGATTTGGTTACATGAATCTTTTATCAATTAAGCTTTTCTAACAACCATTCTGTGGATAAATTGGCACTATCATATACTTTTAATTGCCTCCATCCATTTTCTTTTAGGTCGACATCTGATCGTCGTTGCTCATTAGCTAAGATCCAATTACATGCTTAATTAATTTGTATCAGCTGCATATCTCAATTGATTATTCCCCACTCTATCCTAAGTACAATTGTTCTTTAACCATAACAGCAAATAACTCCAGAAGCATTTCTCCACTTTAACCATCCATGTTGATTATATAAGCTATATTTTTGTCAGAAATTACCATCTTGATAGATAATTATCCTAAATATTGAAAATGGGTACTCTGAGGTATTTCTTAATCATCAATATATCTCATTTTCTCACTGTTTAGCTTAAGATGCATTCAGAAATTTGACTTTTGTTCTTCTGTGAATCCAAATACTTTAGCAATGCTTCTCCCCACCTTGCTATTTATCCTATCTATAAACTCCTCATCCAATTCTATACCATCAAGAACATGCACCACGAGACTTTGTCCTCAATACGTAATTATGTATAGTTAGTCATCCACTACTAGTGTAAGGAGATTACAACTTATAATATCGATCCTCCATAAAAGCCTATGGTGTTAGGAATTTACCCTACAATGTGGGATCATTGTTCAATGGTGGTAAGAATATGAGCAAGCCTTCACTTTTTCTTTGAATGTGGTGAAATTGCTCTGGAAGTCTTGCATGCGGTACGAGTTGGATCCCTGAAGAGCATATGATTCCACTGGGGGCCAATACCTGATTTACATCATTTCTTCATATTATTTTGGGTGGGGGCTCCGATTCGAAAGTAGATTGCTTCCGAATTTGTTGCCTTTGGTGCGAACCCGAATCCGATGGGAAAGCACGAGATTTTTAATACTATGAATTTTGGTGGGTGCTTGAATCTGAACGTGTTCTGGAAGGGGGAGACGGTAGATTTTTCAGTCGTCGATAACTATCTAGAGACGTATTGTAAGACCTTATCAGCGAGAGATCATAACTCATTAAGGGACGATTGGAGCTGTTATGGTACGCAATCGGATTCGAAGGATTATAGCATCATCGAAGACGAATGATGTCGGATCTCGAGGTTGCGGTGGGTGCTGCTCATACGTGAACAATACTTTTTTTTACTTGTGGTTGAGATCGGATGGTTAGGATTGAAAGTGGAGAAATTTTAGATAGATAGCTAGGCCTTACACCTAGGGGCTTCACACCCCAATAAAAGACAAATCACATGCTAAAGAACACCTCATATGCTCAAGAGAGAATTCTCAAACTTAATTTTTTTATTCATTAATATCTATCCCTCATGGAGGATTACATCTCTTATTTAAAGGATAAGAAAACAACTAAACACTTAAGGAAGTAAATAAAAATTCTAATCAAATCAAAACCTAACAAAACTAAAAGATGCAATCAAATACAATTCTAGCTAAAATAGAAAGAGATTTCAAAATCAAATCCTAAAGAAATCCTAACTATAAACAGGATTACATAGAATAAATTAAAATCCTATCACAAAAAAGATTCTAATAAATCCTAATTGCATTACATGGAGGGTCCACAATTGTCCTGCATTAAATCTCCCCTTATTTGAGGAAACTTGATCTCGAGTTTTATAATGAGAAAACATAATATTTGACTTGATTGATGAGAAGAAGTGTATTGTAGATTGGAAGATGAGCGGTAAAATCCGATATTGAGTTGGCGGTGGAGGATATGGAATAACGAACTCAATAACCAGATTATCTTGAAATTTACACCGTATATCGAAGTTAACATCGGATTCTAGGCTTGACTTGAGCTCTAGATTTGATTCAAGCTTGAGCGTTAGATCGACCTGCTGCCTTATTTTTTGTTCTAACTCTTCTTTAAGCTTATGTTTCAGATCCATCTTTTGATTTGCTTCTTGCGGCTATAGTTTAGGCTCGCACTCTGTATTGATCTTTTGATCTACATCTGATTCTAGGTCACGCTCAGACTTGTACTTTGATTCTTAGTTAAAATTTTAATTTTGCTCTGCTTTCTCGTCTGACTCAAGTTAAGGCTTCAGATCTGGATTGATATCAAATTTTGATTGAAGATCCACATCTGACCAGGGTTGAGGAATTTGTGTTGGTTTTACTTTAGAATTTAAAGAGAAACAATATTTTCTAGATGGTGGACTAGAATACCTCCTCTCCAAAAGAGCTTTCATAGTTATCCACAAACGGATGTTTGAATAATAATAGTTTCTATATCACTAATATTTTTCCTCTCTCTTTAGCCTACACTTAGCATATAAATGCATTTTCGATTCTGACATATTATAGATGAAAAATATATCTTCTATATTAAAAATCCAGACGTCAAATTTATAAGGCTCCTCATATCCATAAAATCCATAAAAGTAGGCTAGGGTATCAAATTTAAGAGGATTAAAATCATACCCTTCTGAAGGAGGTAGTGGTATTTGACCCCTGATTACTGTGGATCCTTCAGTTCTGATACCAAATGATGGGGATCAGGGCAGGGGCTCCGATCCGAAAATTGATAGCTTCCGAATTTGTTACATTTGGTGCCAATTCGGATCCGATGGGAAAGTAGGAGATTCTCGATACTGTGAATTTTGGTCATGACCCAAACCCTATATATCAGCAATAAATTGATAAAATCAGCCTATTTTTAAAATATTAGGCGATACTCAAGCGGAGATCGCCGTTAGGGTACACAATTGGATTCGAAGGATTGTAGCATCATCGAAGATGAATGGTGTCGTATCTCGATGCTACGGCATGTGTTGTTCATCCGTGAGCAATATTTTTTGACTTGTGGTTGAGATTGGATGACTAGGATTGAAAGTGGAGAATTTTTAGATAAATAGATAGGCCTCACACTTAGGGGCTTCACACCCTAATAAAAGACAAATCACATGCTAAAAAACACCTCATATGCTCAAGGGAGAATTCTCAAACTCAATTTTTTTATTCATTAATATCTATTCCTCATGGAGGATTACATCTCTTATTTAAAGGATAAGAAAGTAATTAAACACTTAATGAAGTAATTAAAAATCCTAATCAAATCAAAACTAGCAAAACTAACAGATGCAATCAAATAAAATCCTAGCTAAAATAGAAAGAGATTTCAAAATCAAATCCTAAAGAAATCCTAACTATAAAGAAGATTACATAGAATAAAATAAAATCCTACCAAAAAAAATTTTAATAAATCCTAAACCGCATTACATGGAGGGTCCACGATTGTCCTGCATCAAATCTCTCCTTATTTGAAGAAACTTGATCTTGAGTTTTATAATGAGAAAGCATAATGTTTGACTTGATTGGTGAGAAGAATTCTATTGTAGATTGGAAGATCTTTAAGATAAGCTGTAAAACCTGATATTGAGTTGGTGGTGGAGGGTATGGAATAACGAACTCAATAACCAGATTATCTTGAAATTTGCATATCATATCAAACTTAACTTCAGATTCTAGGCTTGACTTGAGCTCTGGGGTTGATTCAAGCTCAAGCGTTAGATCGATCCGCTGCCTTATTTTTTGTTCAAACTCTTCTTTAAGCTTGGGCGTTGGATCTATCTTTTGATTTGCTTCTTGCGGCTGTAGTTCAGGCTCGCACTCTGTTTTGATTTTTTATCTAGATATGATTCTGCGTCACGCTCAAACTCGCGCTTTGATTCTTGGTTAAAATTTTAATCTTGCTCTGCTTTCTCGTCTGACTCAAGTTGAGGCTTCAGATCTGGATTGAAATCAAATTTTGATTGAAGATCCACATGTGACCGGGGTTGAGGAATTTGTATTGGTTTTGCTTCAGAATTTAAAGAGAAACAATTGTAGGCAATAAAAATTATCTTTACACAAGAGAGCTCAAACCTCGCCCATTAGAGCTCGGCTGCGTGCTCAAAAAAAGCAAAAGGCCAAGCGGGGCTCGCCTACAAGCCAAAGCTTGCCAACACGCTTTGCTCGCCTGAGCCAAAGCTCGCATGCATTGCTTAACTTGTCAGCACAAGTCAAGCTCGCTTGCATTCAAGAGGCCAAGTAGAGCTCACCTGCAGACCAAAACTCGCCTGCAAGCCAAAGCTCGCATGCATTGCTTAACTTGTCAGCACAAGTCAAGCTTGTCTGCATTCAAGAGGTCAAGCAAAAGCTCGCCTGTATGCTCGACTTGCCAGCATAAGTCAAGCTCGTCTGAGGCCAAGCCATGCTCGCCTGAGGCCAAGCCATGCTCACTTGTTTGTTTGGCTCGCCTGCACGAGCCAAACCTCGCCTATTTGTTTGGCTCACCTACATGTGCCAAACTTCGCCTGCTTGCTTGACTCGCCAGCATGTGTCAAACTCGCCTGATTATCGATCTCGTCAGCACGAGCTCGACCTCGCTTGAACATCTTGCTCGCCCGCACGAGTCAAGCTCGTATGCAGTGAATTCGTCCGCACGAACTCAGCTTGTTAACAAACACCGACTCACATGCTCGAGGGGCCCACCAGCCGACCCCGCCTATTCGCCAAGCACGCCTACAAGCTCGCCTGAATGTTCAAGCAGCTCTCAAGCTCGCCTGTAAGCCTGTCTGCCTCGCCTGAATAGTACAAGCGATTGCTAGCTTATGGGAGTAGGCCCACCCACTTCCCACGTCCTGAATAATGAGTCATGACTCCTATCATCCTTATAATGATGACATCCCATAGGGCCATAGCTATAGGGGGAGTATGCTACTCATTACTCCTATTAGTGGTCATATTCCATAAATCAATGGATGGCTCATGCTATCCATTGCCTATTTATAGGACCCATTTGCCAACATGAAAGGGGTTCGGCTGGCAATATTCTCAAGGAGAAGCTTGACATTCTCAAAGCTCTTCAAACAGAGACCTTCATTGGCTTGTTTGGTAGAACTTTCCTAGCTTTTTGCCTGGATTGTTGAAGTAAACTCAATCTGAACTCTCAGGTTTGAGACTCTTGGCTCTTTGCAAACTCTTGCATATTGGCCTTCTCTAAACATTTGGCATTGGTACTCATCAAGCTCGGCTATAATCGAACTCAATCACACAAGATTTTCTACTGCGTACTAAGCTCAACCGCAACTTCAATCGTATCGTTCAAGGGAAGCAAACTCGACGCAAGCATTCGAGGGAGGCGTCCTATCGCTATCGAAGAACCCACGTTAAACAAGGAGGGTCTTCTCTCCGCTTCTGTTGTAACTTTTGGATTCCTTGATTTGTAACAAACATTCGATTAATACAAATCTCCATCGAGAAACCAGATTTTACTCCCCTATAACAATATCTTCTACATGGTGGATTAGAGTATCTCCTCTCCAAAAGAGCTTTCATAGTTGTCCACGAACGGATGTTTAGATGATAATAGTTTCTATACCACTAATATTTTGCCTCTCTCTTTAGCCTACACTCAGCATATAAACACATTTCTAGTTTTGACATATCATAGATAGAAAATATATCTTCTATATTGAAAATTCATAAGTCAAGTTCATCAGGCTGCTCATATCCATCAAATCCATAAAAGTAGGCTAGGGTAAAATCATACCCTTGTGAAGGAGGTATCAATATTTAACCCCTAATAACTGTGGATCGTTCGGCTCTGATACCAAATAATGGGGTCGGGGCAGGGGCTCCTATCCGAATGTAGACGTCTCCCGAAGTTGTTGCCTTCGGTGCCAATCTGGATCCGATGGGAAAGCATGAGATTCTCGATACTGTGAATTTTGGTGAGTGTTCAAATCTGAACGTGATCTAGAAGGGGGAGACGGTAGATTTTTTAATCGTCAATAATATTCTAGAGTCGTGTTGTAAGATCTTGGCGGCGAGAGATGATAATTCTTTAAGGGACAATCGGATGAGAGTCAGCGATGGCGATACTCAAGCAAGGGTCGTTATTCGAGTACGCAATCGGTTCGAAGGATTGTGGCATCATCGGAGTCAAATGGTGTTGGATCTCAAGGCTATGGCGAACACTGTTCATCCGTGAACATTAACTATTTTTTGACTTGTGGTTGAGATTGGATGGCTAGGATTGAAAGTGGAGAAATTTTAAATAAATAGCTAGGCCTCATTTCTAGGGGCTTCACACCCAAGAGCTTCACACCCTAATATAAGACAAATCACATGCCAAAGAACATCTCACATGCTCAAGAGAAAATTCTCAAACTCAATTTTTTTATTCATCAATATCTATCCCCGGATTACATCTCTTATTTAAAGGATAAGAAAGCAACTAAATAATTAAGGAAATAAGTAAAAATCCTAATCAAATCCAAACCTAACAAAACTAAAAGATGCAATCAAATAAAATCCTAGTTAAAATAGAAAGCGATTTCAAAATTAAATCCTAAAGAAATCCTAACTAAAAAGAAGATTGCATAGAATAAAATAAAATCCTACAAAAAAAGATTCTAATAAATACTAATCACTTTACATGGAGGGTTCACGATTGTCCTGCATCACTGAGCTTTTTGTTTGGTGACATATTTGCTAGGTCCAAAATCGAATATGTTGCAGTGATTGCTAAAGCAAAACAAACTTGTAAAAGTAACTTGAGGATAGTTTCCTAATTAAAGTACATCCAGATCATTTCACTAGTCATTCGTGACTGATGATTCCAGAAACTAGGAGCATGTAGAAGTTCCTTGTAGGACCTTAAAACCTAAGATAAGATTTTGGTAAAATGTTTTAGGAGAATTTATTGGGTTAATTTCACGAAAGCCCCTAACTTTGGGGTTGTTGCATATAACCTCTCATGAACTTTGTTTATCTCATATAACCCCCTAGATCTGCGTCTCACAAAAATCCCCTGAACTTTGAACTTTTATCCCCTCCCCCCTATATTGTAGTTTGCAAATAACTAAATTTTTCTTGAGAAGAAAAAAATCCAAAATTTACGAGAGAGGATCTGTTGCCTGTAAATGACAAGTGACAATTTGGAATATGTTCTCTCAAAGATATTTTAGTTATTTGTAAATTATAGACAAAGGGAGTTAGGTGAGATAAGGTGGAGTTCAGGGTGATTTTATGAGACACCCAAAGTTTAAGGGGGCTTTGTAAGATAAACAAACTTCAGGGGGGTATGTGCAACAACCCAAAGTTAATTGAATACTGAGCATTCTAACATCATACAACCATTTCTGAACTTCTAATTATTTTAAACAGATGGAGTTAATAACGACTAGCATGTCTTGGAGATTGGCTTTGCTCAGAGCGATTTACATGTTAAGATATATGAGATAGGATTTCCCATATTGGGTAGTTTCAAGGGGTATCCCAAAGGGAAGAGTTAATACTGGGCATTACATTTTGATCCTATAGTATGAAGATCATGATGATTTGTGAGGATTGTCGATTTTGTGGCCCGACATAGTTTTTTGAGGGGTGAACAACCTTCAATGAGGAACAGCTTGTGCCTTAATTAGGAACTCAGGTTTTACTATGTAAACCTGAGTCTATGGATGAGGGTCACCTGACACCCATTTAATGTGAATTTTCCTATAAACGATTAATCATCCTCGCCCCTTACTTAAGACTCTGTTTTAATTATAATTTTGGAGAATTGCTACTTGGTTATACAGGGTTTACAGTGCATGAAAATAAAATAGTTCTCTATCACAAGGGTTCTATATCAAGGCTCCCTCTTATCCATATTTTCCTCTTCCTTGGTTTGGCACCACTCAGATGATTGAACTGAAGGTCCTTGGATCTTTTTAGTGAAGCCATCTTAGAACAGAGTTGCGTGTCATATCTGATCTCTGGTTTGATAGAAAAGTCTTAGATGATGATAATGATGATGATGATAATGATAATGATGAACCATCACATTTGTTGCAGTTCTGGTACTTGCGAATTATAAATTGGCATGGATCTCTGTTAAGCCACTTTGAGTTGACTGACATTATCTTACTTTTTGGTGTATGTCTAAGGTCGTTAGGTAATAAGTTTATTAATCTATGGTGTTTGGTTTTGCAGCTTTGAGCAATTTTGTATCAATTTGACAAATGAAAAACTACAGCAACATTTTAATCAGGTCATTTTTTTCTTTCCTTTTTTGTTTTGCAGCTTGCATAATGTAGTTCTTGCAAATGTTATTGAAGAGTATCCTTCGGAATGGAATTCTGACTTTTTTTTATGCCTTTTTTGGAAACAGCATGTTTTTAAACTGGAACAAGAAGAGTATACAAAAGAAGAAATCGATTGGAGTTATATTGAGTTTGTGGATAATCAGGATATTCTTGATCTCATTGAAAAGGTTTGTTTCCTGTTCAATTTTTTGTATATATTGAAACAATATATGAACTATTATTTTTTCTTCTTATCTATTTCTTATTTCATATATAATTTCAGATTTTAGTTAGGAAGCACATGCAGAGGTGTTATAAGCGTATTTGTCACTGTCGTATTTCTCCTTTCCTTTTGCATATTTTCACATGGCTTTATGTTTTTGAATTATTGTCAAATATTTTTCTTTTTTATTGTAATAATTAGGTAATTGGTTAACATTAATTTTTTATAAGTTATGCACAGTTAAAAAGTTCGCAATAACATTTGATTAAATGAAATTAGTTATTATGACTTATAAGACAATGCTAGCTTATAGTTATAAATTTTAATATACTAGCTCCTTTAAGATAACCACTTTGGTGCTATATTTAAAATGTTGAGATATATGTAATATCAGGGTCTTATGTGTAAAAGTGTCATGTAAGGCTCTATATAAGCCCAACCTATTATCAATAAAAAAAAGCTTTTTGAGCCTCACTTCTATTCTCTATTTCTTCATGGTATCAGAGCCACAACCCTAACCCTAGCCGTTTCTCTCTTCAAAACCCTAAC